AGCGCAGCCGGGGCTGCTCCTGCCTCCTCGGGAATTACTTACTCCCGGGGAGGGCGGCGGGAGGGGGCTCCGCCAGTCCGGTCCGTACAGCCCGTTAAGTGCGGCTTTTCCCCCCGCTTTTTCCTCCTCCTTAAACCCCAAGTCACAAAGATCATCAAACGCGAAGATGACCAGAGTTGTTTGGATTTATTGCAACAATCACTTACCATACACATTTCCTGTGTGGAAGGATAAGCATTCAATACAACTCTTTAAGTAGACAGTTCCTAATGATTTCATTGTGGTCAACCAGATGGTTTTTATGTATTTAGATCTGAAGGTGAAGAATTATTTTCCATGCTTCCAACCTATTTACAGACTTCCCCGGTCTAGAGCTGGGGTTGTTGGTTAAAAGAAAGAAAATCCTGCGATTTCTCGATCGCATCGCTGGATGATCCAGAAAGTTTTCTAAAGGACCTAAAGCGAAAACACGGATAATTCCTTTCACCTCTTCTGGCTTGCCAAGCTACGCGATTCACATGTGGAGTAATTTTAGCTCATTCGTTGAATAACGCTGACAATTTAAACCGCCCCTCTACCTTTGTTTTATCTGCAATAATAAAACCAGAACGACACCGCATGTGAGATCCAGGCGTTTGGTTCCTACCTGAAAGCAGTCGGGGGGCAAGGGCGGCAATCTTTTAGGGATGAAGGACCCGAGGAGGGGCGAGGATGTTGGACAAACTTCAGCCTCGTCCAAAATTAAGCTAAGTGGCGACTTAACAACGTGCGTTTAGAAAAAATAATTCGGTCTTCGAGCGGGGATCGCGCATTTTTGGTACGGCTTAAAACTAAAGTTCACACGGGGACTGCACGACTGCAAAAATGAAAGCTTCGGAGTAAATAAAATTACTGGCTGTTCAGTGTTTCTTGAGCGCACAGAAACCCAGGCGGGTTTGGTTGTTGTTTTTTTGCAGATACTTTTATTGCAAAATAAAAGCCTTAGTTTGTGTATTTGGAGAAAAAAAAAAAACCAAAAAACACCAAACCAAAACCCTGGGTGGGTGGGTGCGTGGATCTGCTTATTTCCTTTGAAAAAAGTTTTTGTTTCGCAGCCGCTGGGAAATGAAATTGTCGCTGCCCGGAGCGACCGCGGAGAGAGCGAGGTCCTGGGCGCAGCGCAGGGAAGCGAGGAAATTACTCCCCGGGCT